AAGAGGCATAAGTTACGAGGAAAGGCTGCGGGAAATGCACCTTACGACACTGGAAGACAGAAGAGTAAGGGGGGACATGATCACAACCGACAAAATCCTCAGAGTAATCAACTGAGTAAACAAGGATAAACTATTCAACACTGGTGGGACACGAACAAGGGGACACAGGTGGAAACTGAGTACCCACATGAGCCACAAGGACGTTAGAAGGAACTTTTTCAGTGTCAGAGTAGTTAGTAAATGGAATGCATTAGGCAGTGATGTGGTGGAGGCTGACTCCATACACAGTTTCAAATATAGACTCTGATGCTGAACGAATTCTTCTAATGTCTCTGTGGCTCATTGGTGTGTGTGTGTGTGTTTTTGCTATCTTTTCCTAACTTTTACTTAGATTGATTTATAATTTTCTCATTCTCATTATCTTTCTTGCACTCTCTCTCTCTCTCTCTCTCTCTCTCTCTCTCTCTCTCTCTCTCTCTCTCTCTCTCTCTCTCTCTCTCTCTCTCACCACCTTCGTTTCCTCCTTTATCTAAGCTTTACTCGCATTTTCCCTCCCCTTCCTATTTCCACCGTCCACAGGAGTGAATCTGAAATATAGATATTGGATGAACGAATTTTTCTGGTGCTAGTGAGGGAAGAGCTGTGATTCACAGCCTGTTATTCCATGGTGTAGTTCCTCTTCCCAGTCTCAGTGTTCTTGTCTCAATATTGTTCATGTTATTCTCATTCTCGCCTTATCAATAAGAATATTATTATTATTATCATTGATATCTTTATTAGATTTTATGAAAGACCTTGACATTGTAATGTAATGGATTTGGTGCATGGTATTGTACCATGCTGGGAGTAAAGTGCCCCTGGTGCATGGTACTGTACCATGATAGGAGTATGGTGACCATGGTGCATGGTACTGTACCATGCTGGGAGTAAGGTGCCCCTGGTGCATGGTACTGTACCATGCTGGGAGTAAGGTGCCCCTGGTGCATGGTACTGTACCATGCTGGGAGTAAAGTGCCCCCTGGTACATGGTACTGTACCATGCGCGGAGTAAAGTGCCCCCTGGTACATGGTACTGTACCATGCTGGGAGTAAGGTGCCCCTGGTGCATGGTACTGTACCATGCTGGCAGTAGGGTGACCATGGTACATGGTACTGTACCATAAGAGGACATAACCAGGTGCTAACACAGTAAAATTTGTCTTTGAGACTGTGAGGTGAGACCTCACCAAACGCATCACTTGGCGTCAGACCCAAATAAAAAGTGAAAATGAACTTTGAAGAGTTAATTTTTCAACTTCCCAACTCAGAGAAGAAAAACATAAGGAATATCGAGAAGATTTTGTGTCAAAATTATAAATCTAAAACTTTCTCTCACTCAATAGTACCGATTTCTACTTTCTAATTACGTTCTACGTCGGTATAGGTACTATGGTCCCCATCTTTCTTATAAGTACAATCAAAACAAGAGGATAGGCTGATGATGTTTAGAATGTTGTCAACCCACAATGCATAGTGTTGTAAAACTCATATGAAATAAACAGTGTTCACTGTATGCACTGTAACTCCTGGTTAAGTGAGGCGCAGCTCAGCAGCTGTTTATTTATGAGGTGAGAAAAGGGCAGTGAGGCTGGTGGGAAGGGAAGGGAATTGTCGGGAAAGCGCCAAGCCATGACGACTATATAGCACTGGGAAGGGATCAGGATAAGGATTTGGGATGGGACGAGGAGGGAAGGAATGGTGCCCAACCACTTGTGAACGGTCGGGGATTGAACGCCGACCGGCATGAAGCGAGACCGTCGCTCTACCGTCCAGCCCAAGTGGTTGGCTGATGGGGGGAGGTGCAGGCAGGTGGAGAAGGGAAGAAATTATGCATTGAGGAAATTATACTATCATTATTATTAGTAAAAGAAATTATAAGAAATTATACAGCCACATGCTTCAAGTGTCTTCTACTTCTTGGAGGAGGATCTAAGTGTAGCCTCAGGCATTGAGTCAATGAATTTCGAGTCAATTTCCGGGTAATTTAGAGTGGTTGGGGGACTCCCACTTATATGAAAGTTTTTGGAAAAGTAGCTGAAAAGTTACTGGAGCAGAAAAAATGTCACGGAAAAGTGGTAATGAATTAGATGAGTCTTGATAATAGTCATGGCTAATGTGATCCAAGGTGGAGCCTCCATCTCTCCACTACTCTATCTCTCCAACACAACTCTATCTCTCTCTATATCTCTCTCTCTTTATATCTCTCTATATATCTCTCTATATCTCTCTCTCCCTATATATATCTCTCTCTCTATATATCTCTCTCTCTCTATATATATCTCTCTCTCCCTATATATATCTCTCTCTCTCTATATATATCTCTCTCTATATCTCTCTCCCTCCCTCCCCCCACAACTCATTTTCTCTTCACTATCAGTTTCCCTTCTACCCACCAATCTTTCTCTCCACCACTCTCACTCCTCCTCCACCCCTCTCCACCACTCTCACCACTCTCCACCTCTGCCCCCACCTCTTTGTGCTCACCGGACACGCACCAACACACTTTAACTCGGCCAAAATTGAATTTACTCCAACACAACTTTTCCCGGAGGCCAGAGACAGCCCAACAGGCAGTTAGAGGCGTGTCTCAGCTTGTTACCCTGGCCGGCTGGGCCTTCCAACACCGCTAATACTCACTCACACTCATTTTCTTAATCATTAATTACCACTTATTTTCTTACTCTCACTCTCATTTTCTTGTTCACACACTCATTTTAAAACTCATTCACACTTTATCTTCTTACTCACTTCCATTCTCCTTTTATTATTCACTCTCTCTTTTTCTGACTCATTCACTCACTTGTTCCCATTTGGCTACGCTCATTCACTCATATTTACTCGCCGTGTTTCATTAATTTTCACTGATGGGGTAGATAAAGATAATCTTTATCTCTCGTAGATCACTGGTGGTAGATCACCTGAGAGTGGTGGTAGATCACTGTCAAGGGTAGATAAAGATAATCATTATATACCCTTGACAAGGTAGATAAAGATAAACAGTTTAACACGGGTGGTACGCGAACAAGGGGACACAGGTGGAAACTGCGTACCCAAATGAGCCACAGGGACGTTAGAATGACACTGAAAATGTTCTAAGTACTTAACAGATGGAACACATTGGGCATTTATATTTCTAAAAGGGAAATAAAACATAAATTTAAAACATTTTCTTTGATTGCTCCATAGAAAACATTGTACAAATCCTACATAAACATTTGACTTATGACATTTCTACAACACCAGCCTTGGCAGAGAGATTGTGGTTACAATGGTGGTTGATGTCGCTTTGGTTGTGGTTACAATGGTGGTTGATGTCGCATTGGTTAATGTTGCTGGGGGAGTGAATGTTGTGTGACATTTTGCCTATTTTAAAGTTAAACTCGGTGAAAATACTGTATATGTTGGACTGACGCTGCGTGACTGAAGTATAAATGAGACTCATTTTTAGTTTGTAAACTTACTCAGTGGTGGTAAATCACTCAAAGGCTTGGGATCACTCACGCAAGGGTAGTTAGGTGCGCAAGATGTGAGTAATGGAGCACTCCCACACTCAACGGTTGTGCATCACTCACTCCTCATGGGTGAGTGAATGATCACTCATTCAAGGGTGGTAGATCCCTCACTCAACAGTGGTAGAACACTCACTCAAGGGTTATGGGTCACTCACTACAGGGCTGTGGATCACTCACTCATAGGTAAGTGATCCTCTAGAATTGTAGATCACTGTCAGTGGTGGTAGATCACTCTCAGTGGTGGTAGATCACTCTCAGTGGTGGTAGATCACTCACTCTCAGGTGGTAGATCACTCACTCAAAGGTGGTAGATCACTCACTCTCAGGTGGTAGATGAATCATTGTAGAGTAGTAAATTATTCACTCAAGTAAGGTGCATCACTCGCTCTTGGATGGAAAACCACTCTCTCAAAAGTGTAAGATCACTCTCTTAACTCTTAAGAGTATGGGATTACTTAATGACGAAAGGTATTCCACATCTGTCAAGGGTTTAGTCTACCAATCAATCAAGATTGGTATTCTTGATTGGATTCTTCAAATTTTGGTTTGTATACCACAAACAAAGATTAGCTGACGGCTGAATTACTCGCTGAGATTAGGAGTCTTACCACTCACGGATAGGGGGGGGAAGGACTACCACTCACTTATGATTGGGAGATCACTCAAGGGGGGACTAAAGTATTCACTTATGATCGAAGAACCACTCAGCGGGAGTAAACCATTCACTTAAGGAGAGTTCAGACCAATCACACAGGTATTATACAAGTCCTGAACTGAGATTCATATTGATTGTGAATGATTCTGTGTATCATTATCTTCGGCACAAATTGTTTCAAACAGGATGTCATTATGGGGTTACTCCTACAACCTCTTTTGAGCCAGAAATTTGTAAGTACAACTCTTTGTATTCATTAGAAATTGTTTCAATACTCAATCATTATTTGAATTGCCCCCCAATACCCCAAGCCAGCCAGGAAGAGCTGTTGTACCACAGTACTAATACCATTGTTCCAGGACTCGGGAGACACCATTGGCAACTCAGCACCGCTGGAAAGACCCGTGTGTGTGTGTGTGTGTGTGTGTGTGTGTGTGTGTGTGTGTAATTACCTAAGTGTAGTTACAGGATGAGAGCTACGCTCGTGGTGTCCCATCTTCCCAGCACTCTTTGTCATATAACGCTTTGTACTCCTGTACTAACGCTCCTGTAGATGTGTGTGTGGGTGTGTGTGTGTACTCACCTAATTGTACTCACCTAATTGTGCTTGCGGGGGTTGAGCTTTGGCTCTTTGGTCCCGCCTCTCAACTGTCAATCAACTGGTGTACAGATTCCTGAGCCTACTGGGCTCTATCATATCTACATTTGAAACTGTGTATGGAGTCAGCCTCCACCACATCACCACCACCACCACCATCACTCCTCCACCACCTCATCATCGGTGTGTGTGTGTGTGTGTGTGTGTGTGTGTGTGTGTGTGTGTGTGTGTGTGTGTGTAAGGGGGGGGTTGTTCTCCATCCATCCGGGGGGAATATAATCGTGCTCAGGACGGGCCTCGACTGCTCTAGAAACTATCACAGCTTCATCAGCGTTACACGCACTCTTGTCTACAGGGTCGCTAGGCGCAGTGCCCAAACCATTCCGTCAACCGTTCCATCACTTCTAAAACAATAGATAATAAATTAATATAAATTAGCGTCTATGAAAATAATATCAGTAAATATTATATTTATAATAACAATAGATAATAACTAATAATAATAAATTCTCATCCACATTTACGTGGAAATAAACATCTTATTCACCTTGGGCCAGATTCACGAAGCAGTTACGCAAGCACTTACGAACGTGTACATCTTTCCTCAATCTTTGACGGCTTTGGTTACATTTATTAAACAGTTTACAAGCATGAAAACTTGCCAATCAACTGTTGTTATTGTTATAAACAGCCTCCTGGTGCTTCCGAGCTCATTAACTGTTTAATAATTGTAAACAAAGCCGCCAAAGATTGAGAAATGATGTACAGGTTCGTAAGTGCTTGCGTAACTGCTTAGTGAATCTGGCCCCAGGGCTGTAGGAGATTCGAACTGTGGACACAACGCGTGAGAAGCCAAAGCTCTATCGACTAGGCTATTGAATTGTCAATAGCCTAGTCGATAGAGCATGAGGTTCGAATCCCCTAGTGTCCAGATGAATAAAATAACAATCATTCTTATTATTGTTAATCTTACGGTGCTTGGGAGTAATTAGAGTCCAGTTCGAATCCTTAAGCACCAATTCATTATCTTATTAATCCATGTTAATGTGATGCCGTTGTGCAATATTATTATTACACAGAGAAATCACATTAATGTGATGTATCTAAGAACAAATACACAGGAGCCGTGATGAGGATTCGAACTTATGCAGGTTGCAATTCTTTTGACCATGTGGTGGTACAGTTGACTAGAGCGCGTCTGGGAACACTCAACGCCCAGGTTCGAACCCCGTCATCAAGGCTCCTGTAGATTTGTTCCATTATTATTATTATTATTAATTATTATTATTAGTTTTAATATTAGCAGTCTTAACAATAATAAAGAAAAGTATTGAAAGTAAAAATCTAAATTTTGAAATTATCTTATCTAGTAGAGAAAGTGAGAAGTGACAGACAGCGATGGTGACTGCTGGTGACTGCTCCAGGCTTCCCGTCACTAACTTGGCTTATTGATGATATTCCTTTCAAAACTGAACACCGGTTGAATTTGTTCCAGAAAATCGGACTAAGGAATGTTTGCTCTTGGATCTGGTGTATGTATTGGTGTACATTACAGCTCTGAGATCTCCATTACTATCGGGAAACTGTATATAACTGAATGTGTCATTATTTTAGTCATCTGTTTAGATCTTGATGCAGGAGCCGGTCGGCCGAGCGGACAGCACACTGGACTTGTAATCATGTGGTCCCGGGTTCGATCCCAGGCGCCGGTGAGAAACAATGGGCAGAGTTTCTTCACCCTATGCCCCTGTTACCTAGCAGTAAAATAGGTACCTGGGTGTTAGTCAGCTGTCACGGGCTACTTCCTGGGGGTGGAGGCCTGGTCGAGGACCGGGCCGCCGGGACACTAAAAGCCCCGAAATCATCTCAAGATAACCTCAAGAGAATAACTCGCATATCAGTGCTGTATTGAAACAAAATATTAAATTCTGCATTATATTTCTATACCCCCAAAAATATGCATTTATCAGAATAACAGACTCATGTTAAGAACTGGCTTCAACAGAGTACTGGCTAAAATTATATATATTTCCTGTGTCAATTACCGTCGCCTCATCCTTTAGGTCACAACTCTCCAGCCTTTCATCTCCATTCCTATTAGACCACAGCTATTCACCCCATTTTCTTTTGATCCATGGCTACCCATTTCTCCTATTCCCATTTTGTTAAGCCAGCACATTCTACGTCTTCTGACGTCACTCACCACAGCTGGCGACATCTAGCGTGCTTCTCATCACACAACCCGTTCTCGCACTTTCTTATAGTCAATATTGACTTATTAAATACGTCCATATGGGACATATTAATTTATTGTGAATATTTTAGTTTACCTTGTAAAGCTTCATAGAAAACACCGACCTTACCTAACCTTCTTAGTATGTTAATATAAGCATTTTATTGCTTCGTAATTACAATTATTACTTAACCTATACCTATAATAGGTTAAGTAATAATTGTAATTAAGAAGCAATAAAATGCTTAACTTAATATACTAAGAAGGTTAGGTAAGGTCGGTGTTTTCTATAAAACTTTTCAAGGTAAACTAAAATATTCACAATAAATTAGTATGTCCCATATGCACGTATTTAATAAGTCAATATTGACTATAAGAAAGTGCGAGAACGGGTTGCATCACACCATTGTCATCTACATCACCTTGAATGAATTATTTACATGTTTACAGCGACTAAACGATCAGGGGAGACATCTCCCGTCACGCAGGGTGCAGTCGCACCTCCACAGATCTCCAGTATCAGCTCTTGATACTGGTAATGGCTCAAAAGAGCCACCACTTACGGGCTATTCATGCCCGTGCCACTTTTTGGGTGGCTTAATCTTCGTCAATCAATCAATCGACTAAACGATACTCAGACACTGGACTGCTAGTCATAGATTGATCACAGCTACACCTATCATTCCTCCTGTTCACTTCCCTGAACAAAATACTTTACAAATTCCTTTCACCTAGATACCAGGTAGGGAGATAATACCAGAACGCTTTTAATTTGATTAAAGCAGTCTTAGAAAGTCTTCAGCTGACTTTCCGAAGACAGAGAGCTAAGCCACAGTCGTATATTTAAGCCTTTATCCTTGGTAAAAGGCTTTCTTAACTAAAGTTCGTAAGTTTAATCCAAGATTCCAATCAGCTTATGTCTGGGATTATTGAGGTACAGCTCGTGAAGTGAAAAATCTTGAAAGATTTGCCAAACTTCAAAAATAAATTATATATATATATATATATATATATATATATAGAAGGGAGTACCACCTCTAGCTGGAAGAAGGGGGACCCATAGCCTCGGAGGAAACCACGCATAACGCATTAGAGGGAATGTTTAGATCCATTTAATATTATATATATATATATATATATATATATATATATATATATATATATATATATATATATATATATATATATATATATATATATATATATATATATAATATATTATAATATATATGTAAACAAAAAGAACAAACCCGTAAAAAAATAGTAAAATCCTTTAAGGGAATTCAGCTTATTGGGCAAAACTTTGACCACTAACAATCAAAAGCCTCCAAATGTTGTTACTGTGTTTGGTGGGGAGAGGCAGTAGTGGCAGAGAGGCAGCAGCAAGCAGGTGTAGTGGCCTACACTAGTGTGTGGCCACGCTGACCATCACCCCAGTATTACCATCACCGAAGGTTGGCTGGCGCCTCGACATATACCCACGAGAAGAATCACCAAATACGCCATATCTTCAGACACGTTATTTTTGACTCGTCAGCAAATTCCGAGGCTTTACGAAGTACTATAATAGGGGGGGAGTACACTCAAGTTTGGAGTGTACTCTGAGTTTAAAGTGCATTCAAGTTTTTAAAAGAGTTGAGTGTAATATTATTGGAAACCAAAGGACCTGAGAACAACGGAATATCTCTATTTCAGCCCCGCATCAATGTGATTCACTCGAGCAAATGATAAGTACATTATATATCAATCACTACATCACGTACTGCTGCTGCTGCATTGTATTGTGTTCTAATATTCACTTTTTACGTTCCTGATGTATAGGAAAGACTGTGTTGTATTGTATAGGAAAGACTGTGTTGTATTGTATAGGAAAGACTGTGTTGTATTCTCCAACCTTGCGTGATTTATTGCCTTGCCTGAACAATTTTCACGGGGGATATGTCAGTGTGATACAGTATGATGTATTGTGTTGATATAGATTGGGCAAGCGACGAGTCGTCGAGGTGTATACTGGAGCACTATTGGTGGAAAGTTTGATGTTGTATGGTATGTCCTGTATGAATTATAGTGAGGGTGGTGAGGTGATGAATCAGGCCAGTGTGTAGTGTATATGATGTCATTGCTTGATACGTTATCATGCATTTTTGTGATTAAAGTTGTGCATTGTGATGTTGTATGGGGTTGTGTATTGTGATGTGTTGTGTTTCGTTGTATGTGGTTGTATATTGTAGCGTGTTATGTGTTTTGCGGTATTGTTGTATAGATTTGTGTGATGATTTGCTTTATAATGTTGTGACGTGATGAGTTAGGGATTATCTTCATGTGTGGTATTTTATAGTGGGCTGACTTGTTACAGATACGTGGATGAATATATGTTTCTCTGTACGTGTGTGTGTGTGTGTGTGTGTGTGTGTGTGTGTGTGTGTGTGTGTGTGTGTGTGTGTGTGTGGTAGTAATAGGGAAATGATGTATATTTCACAATTACACAAACTTCACAACAGGAGAAAACAAGATTTATGTTTGCCTGAAGGTAAACAAATCAAAAAATACTGCAATAGTCTCCATTTCTTTTGCGGTGAAATGTATGCACATTTTATTCATTTTTCTCCCAATTTTTGTTTACAAGTTCATTGTGTCCGTTGAAACTGGATCTGCCAAGTTGGACTCCACAAGATGTCGATGATAAGCGTTTAATACCATCACAAATCCACAAAGTGTTTACAACAATATTATATCCACGGGAATCCACAAGGTGTCGATATCAGTCGAAACCTAATTGCGTTTGGAGTCCACATTAAAAGAACCTAAAAGCCTCGTCCGAGACTCGAGTCACACTATACACTGCTTTCGTGACGGAAGGCTTCTACCTCGTAGTCCTGGCGGAGGTGGGCGTGCTGGTCTAGCAGGGGCGAGGAAGAGGTAGTTGTGTCCCCTGACGCCAGGAAATGAGGCGGCGGCGTCGGATAGGCGCCGCCCGCCATGGGGGGCGGAGGTGGATAATGCGCAGATATCAGCAGATGGTCCTGGTGAGATGGTGGCGCCGCCCCCAGCACCTGCGGCAGGCAGACACACTACTGTCAGTGGCTGCACTACAATCACTGTTACTGCTATGGTCAATGGTGTTGGCAATGTAATAGTTAACATTGCCTAATAGTGTGGTTAATGTTGTGGTTAGTGTTTTCTTATAGCGTGGTTATATGAATTCACAGTCTGGTTAACGTGGCTTGACAGTGTGGTTAATGATGGATAACAGCCTGGCTAACGTTGCTCCATAGTGTGTGGTTAATGTTAACATGTCGTTAATGTGGTTTAATGTTGTGGTTAATGTGGCTACTGTTGCTATATGTTGAAGTATTGTTGCGTTATGTAGCTAATTGCACAGTTAGGTTAATTGTTTGGTTAAAAGAACTAATATTGCTTAATACAATAAATTTAGTTGATTAGATATACGGGATATATATATATATATATATATATATATATATATATATATATATATATATATATATATATATATATATATATATATGTCGTACCTAGTAGCCAGAACGCACTTCTCAGCCTACTATGCAAGGCCCAATTTGCCTAATAAGCCAAGTTTTCATGAATTAATATATTTTCTCTAATTTTTTTCTTTTGAAATGATAAAGCTACCCATTTCATTATGTATGAGGTAAAAAAATTGTTATTGGAGTTAAAATTAACGTATATATATGACCGAACCTAACCAACCCTACCTAACCTAACCTAACCTATCTTTGTAGGTTAGGTTAGGTTAGGTAGCCGAAAAAGTTAGGTTAGGTTAGGTTAGGTAGGTCAGGTAGTCGAAAAACAATTAATTCATGAAAACTTGGCTTATTAGGCAAATCGGGCCTTGCATAGTAGGCTGAGAAGTGCGTTCTGGCTACTAGGTACGACATATATATATATATATATATATATATATATATATATATATATATATGTCGTACCTAGTAGCCAGAACGCCCTTCTCAGCCTACTATGCAAGGCCCGATTTGCCTAATAAGCCAAGTTTTCATGAATTAATTTTTTTTCGACTACCTAACCTAACCTAACCTAACTTTTTCGGTTACCTAACCTAACCTAACCTATAAAGATAGGTTAGGTTAGGTTAGGTAGGGTTGATTAGGTTTGGTCATATATCTACGTTAATTTTAACTCCAATAAAAAAAAATTGACCTCATACATAATGAAATGGGTACCTTTATCATTTCATAAGAAAAAAATTAGAAAAAATATATTAATTCAGGAAAACTTGGCTTATTAGGCAAATCGGGCCTTGCATAGTAGGCTGAAAAGTGCGTTCTGGCTACTAGGTACGACATATATATATATATATATATATATATATATATATATAACATATATATATATATATATATATATATATATATATATATATATATATATATATATATATATATATATATGAATAAAAACTCACACCCCAGAAGTGACTCGAACCCATACTCCCAGGAGCAACGCAACTGGTAACTACAGGGCGCCTTAATCCACTTGACCATCACGGCCGTGAAAAGGAAGTGATAGCCGAGGCTATTTGAGCCACTTCCCCGACGGCAACTCGGATGGTAATCTTGGGCATAGCATTTCACCAAATCACCTCATTCTTTGGGGCACACGTGAGGAACACAAATGCGAACAAGCCTGAATGGTCCCCAGGACTATATGCGAATGAAAACTCACACCCCAGAAGTGACTCGAACCCATACTCCCAGGAGCAACGCAACTGGTAACTACAGGGCGCCTTAATCCACTTGACCATCACGGCCGTCAAAAGGAAGTGATAGCCGAGGCTATTTGAGCCACTTCCCCGACGGCAACTCGAAGAATGAGGTGATTTGGTGAAGTGCTATGCCCAAGATTACCATCCGAGTTGCCGTCGGGGAAGTGGCTCAAATAGCCTCGGCTATCACTTCCTTTTCACGGCCGTGATGGTCAAGTGGATTAAGGCGCCCTGTAGTTACCAGTTGCGTTGCTCCTGGGAGTATGGGTTCGAGTCACTTCTGGGGTGTGAGTTTTTATTCATATATATATATATATATATATATATATATATATATATATATATATATATATATATATATATATATATATATATATATATATAATATAAGGCTCAGGATAAGGATTTGGGATGGAGGGAAGGAATGGTGCTCAATCACTTGGACGGTCGGGGATTGAACGCCGACCTGCTTGAAGCGAGACCGTCGCTCTATCGTCCAGCCCAAGTGGTTAGAGAGAGAGAGACAGACAGAATATGAAGATATATATTTATAAATTCTGTATATATAATATGTAATTTTCGTGATTTACACACACGTATATATATATAAAGTGAAATAAATTTAATAAATTATAACAAATAAATACATGTTTAATTAGCAAATTAATTCAACAATGGAAAAGCTCACTAAAATATACTCATGTCTGACCTTGTTCTAAATAATATTCTTTCCAAACTGTATTAAAAATGTCTAATTAAATTATTATTACTGAAATAAATTCTCTGTACTGACTCGAGTAGAGGAAACCATAATTGTACACAATTTGCCTCGTAACTTGAAAGTTAGATTTGCCAAAATGCTGTCAAGAATATGCTTTGAAGAGAGAAAGGATCAAAACTAATTGCATTAATATCGACTGGACTGATTGTAAGGAAAAAGTATGGGAATCAAAGGATCCAATGCCCTTAATGTAGTTTGAAATCAATGAACGTATTGAGGTGGCTTTGGAAAAAATACTCTATCATATATTTATACAATTATTCTATATTATTCTATTTATTACAAATTATTTAGTTATATTTTTTTTTATTTATGGAAGACACCAGTTTAGTACCCACAAAACTGTTTATCATTTGAACGGTTCTTGAATCTGTTCACATGTGACGACTCTAAGACTGAATGTTAACAAGATTTGAGCAGGTAGGCAACCAGTTCTCAGACCAAGTCCATTCCATCCAGCGGTCGACCCCAAAGACGCATTCAATAATTTCAACATGCTGTTCATTCAAAACAGAAAAAAATCTCAAATATAAAATAACAATGTTATATATCAGCATGCTGAGCATATTTAGGCATTGGTTAGGTTAAGTTGGGATGTTTAGATTCGCGATTATTTCTATTTGTAGTACGTGGGTGAAGCATTTACAGCGTTGTGGTTCGAACAAAATTCGTCAGTGAAGCACTTGTTCCGGATATGTTCGAACGTCAGCAGTTGTGAGTCGTGTGTAAACCGCTTTTGTTGACCAGACCACACACTAGAAATTGAAGGGACGATGACGTTTCGGTCCGTCCTGGACCATTCTCAAGTCGATTGTTGAGAATGGTCCAGGACGGACCGAAACGTCATCGTCCCTTCAATTTCTAGTGTGTGGTCTGGTCAACATACTTCAGCCACGTTATTGTGACTCATCGCCTGTAAACCGCTTTTCATTCATAAACAGGGGGTTTGGCGGGTGCATGGAATCACTTTTGGATCTTTGTTTGGAGGACGGGCTGAGCATTTACAGCGTTGTGGTTCGAACAAAACTCGTCAGCGAAGCACATGTTCAAGAAGTGTTCGAACGTCATCAGTTATGAGTCGTGTGTGTAAACCATTTTTCATTCATAAACGGGGGGTTTGGCGGGTGCATGGAATGGACTTTGGCCTTTATTTATAAAGATGGGCTGGGCTCAACACAATGCTTATAAGAATTTTAAATTTGTTCAGCTGTTTATCAACGTTTATATTTATTGTTGCAAGTAAACTGTCGCAAATGATGGTTCTCTCTTTTGCTTAATTGTATTAATGCCATTGTCTTGAAGATGAGAGAAGAATATGCTGATTAGCACTGTAAATGTGCGGCCACGTCTGTGGTAGAAAATAAGAACAATACAAAATTGCCTTTATAATATAAATAAAATGTTCCAGAGAAACTCCCAAGTTAATCTTGAAGCGTTTTTAATTATTCAATGTAACTACATTAGCTTGTTGCTGTATCTAATTTGCCCCTGCAAGTAAATGTCCCTAAGGAATTGTTCTAATGCATGGCAAAGCAAAAAAATAAAAGATGGTTGCATATAACTATTGTTACGTAAGTTTATGATAGATTCAGAAGCATGTAACTTCTTTATCAATAACATTACTGCTGTTAACCAGACCACACACTAGAAGGTGAAGGGACGACGACCTTTCGGTCCGTCCTGAACCATTCTCAAGTCGATTGTGCATTCTCAAGTCTCAAATCGCCCTGGATCATTCTCAATCGACTTGAGAATGGTCCAGGACCGACCGAAACGTCGTCGTCTCTTCCCCTTCTAGTGTGTGGTCTGGTCAACATACTTTAGCCACGTTATTGTGACTCATCGCCTCCACGAATGTTTAATGGAACATCTGGCCATGATGTTGACAACATCATGGCGAGACATAGCGAGTCTGTGGTATTGTCAGGGACGTGAATTTCGAACCCATTGAATTGCTTCAACATTGTCCCATTTATTCACGTTACTGTGAATTCAATTTTGTGAGTGAAATGTTAATGAGTTAATAAATCGGTGGAATGAATAAATAATAGGTAAAGTTCTACGTGTATCACATAAATAAGACAGTAGCCTAATGAAACACTTCAAGAGAGTGCTATATGCATTTAATGATCCTACCTTGCCAGATTTTAATTAGAGATGTAATTACGAGGGACAAACCTCGCAGGAGTGGTGTGTGAAGGAGGGAGGTGGAAGCCCCGGCTGCTGGTGGTGGTGGTGATGGTGGTGGCGATGTTGGTGGTGGTGGTGCAGCTGGTGCTGGTAGTAGACATCCCACTCCTGCTGCTGCTGGTGCTGCTGCTGCTGGTGGCAGGAGGTGGTCGTTCCACCACCTACAGATGGCACCACGACCACCGCAGATGACGCGGTGCTCAGAGAGGTCAGGTGGTGACAGGAAGACACTCCGCCCACCACCTGGCAGCTGGGTACACGCAGCTCCTCCAGCTGGTAGTCGCACTCTGGCCGGTTCATAAACCGATGTTACGTAGCTACATGCAGAAGTTCACGCATAATGACACACTAGTCAACCCGTTCTCGCAATTTCTTTAAGTCAATATTGACTTAAAGAAATTGCGAGAACGGGTGCACTGGTACACATACGTGTCTATAATGTTTATGTTAGTAAGCTTAAATTACACTATAATCCCCAAGCTTAACTCCATGCAACTGAGAAGCTGAGCCGCCCTGAGATCACAAAGTATCTGAACAAGGGTCCAGAATGATGCACAGGTACAATAATGTATCAAATATCAGTTCAAGTATGTTTATTGAGATAAGAAAGAAATACATTTCAAAGATATAGAGTAGCTTAGGCTATTTCTATCCCCTTCAAATATCTGCTTTCATTACGGCGCTCTTATGAAGTTGCTTATGTTAACATCAAATAAATTATTTCGCTAACTTAAAGGTGCCTTGAATATAAATAATATATCCTTGGCGGGTTTGATAATATTTGTATCGAAGCTACGCTACACAATCTTCCCAATTTGATTCCTCTTTCGATAATTATTTATTCTCTGCCGCTCTACCCAACCACTTGGGCTGGACGGTAGAGCGACGGTCTCGCTTCATGCAGGTCGGCGTTCAATTCCCGACCGTCCAAGTGGTTGGGCACCATTCCTTCCAATCGTCCCTAATCCTTATCCTGACCCCTTCCATGTGCCATATAATCGTAATGGTTTGGCGCATTTCCCTGATAGTTCCCTGGCGCTCAACTGGATATGATCGAGTATCAACACACTGAAACATAAGGCACTACGGGCTCACCATAGCCCGTGCTACTTGGAACTTTGTTCCAGGTAGCAAATCTTTAACAACAACAACTTAAACATGTTCCTTACCTTCCTTGAGCGGTATGAGGTCTGGGTTCCGGTCTTCGGAAGCCGGCGAGGGTCTACTGAAGGTACTAACTGTCTCCTTCGGGGAGGTGTCGGACACCAGGGAGCCATGAGCGTAGGCAGGCACCTCTTGCGAGGGTCTCCTCCGGGGACAGTGCTTGATAGCCAGGCCCAGGATCACCACTACGGTGATGACAACAGCTACGGCCGCTCCGGCAACCACAGCGATGAGAGGAGAGACTCCCAGCACCTCCTCCGCCGGTTCGCTGAAGCCTGTGGAGGTGTGTGTGTGTGTGTGAGAGAGGTGGTGAGAGATGTTTCTCACAGGACGGGAATTTGTGAGAGGGGGTATGGGAGGTGTGTGTGAGAGGGAGGGTGTGTGTGAGAGAGGGAGGGTGTATATGTGAGAGAGAGGTAGTGTGTGTGTGTGAGAGAGAGACTGTGAGAGATGTCTCTCACAGGACGGGAATTTGTGGGAGGGAGTATGGGAGGTGTGAGTAAGAGGGAGGGTGTGTGTGAGAGAGGGAGGGTGTATGTGTGAGAGAGAGGTAGTGTGTGTGTGTGTGTGTGTGTGTGTGTGAGGCGGTGAGAGATGTCTCTCACAGGACGGGAATTTGTGAGAGGGGGGTATGGGAGGTGTGTGTGAGAGGCAGTGTATGTGTGAGAGAGAGGGTGTATGTGTGTGTGAGAGGTAGGTAGTGTAATTACCTAAGTGTAGTTACAGGATGAGAGCTACGCTCGTGGTGTCCCGTCTTCCCAGCACTCTTTGTCATATAACTGTGTGTGTGAGAGGGTGTGTTTGTGAGATTAGAACAGGGAGTCATGAGCGGTAGAGGAAGGCAGAGCAAGAGTAGTGGAGGAGAGGAGTGAGAGAGAGAGAGAATGAGAGCGAGAGTGGCCCTAACAAGCAATAACATTAAGCCTAACACCAGCAAAGGCTTTTGGTCATTTAGGAAACAATATTCTAAAACAAATTAGATTTTGTCTTTGGTTTCGTTTAGAACTTTGAATGTGACATATTTTCAGCCGCTCATCGTTCAACGCGGCCTCCTGATAGCACGTCGCATTTTGACGTATACTCAACCCAAGGCCAAAAGTTGTCGTACTAGAATATGGTAGCGACTCGCGAAATTGACATTCTGTCCCGTTTTCTGTTTTGGGTCCTCTGGTAAGTTGATTGATTGATAAAGATTAAGCCACCCAAGAGGTGGCACGGGCATGAATAGCCCGTAAGTGGTGGCCCTTTTGAGCCATTACCAGTATCAAGAGATGATACTGGAGATCTGTGGAGGCGCGACTGCACCCTGCGTGACGGGAGATGTCTCCCGTGTCCTCCGGTAAGTTAGGATAAAAACTTTTTAGTACGACAATGTCTTGACGTTGGGAAGTCTTAGGAGGACGAGCTGCATCGTCAGAGTATTTGTCTGCAATTCAGTTAAAGACGGAACGGTTCTTGGTAGATCCGCTTTACAATGGGTGTTGTATCAACCCGTCCTCTTAAAAATAACGTCACGTTTGGCTCGTATGCGCGGCACTATGGCCAAATTTGGACGTAATTTGAAATGAAATTGACTCACAAAAGTGACGTATTGTTCTGTTTTCTGTTTGAGTCGTCCGGCTTACTCGGTAAGGTTAGAAGAGGATTCTTTCCATTAACATTTTTCATAACGTTTTGAAACTTTATGAGAATTTCCTGCCCACCTAACCTATCAGAGGACCCTTAACTTACTGCTGTTGAAAAAAATCCCAAATATATATATTTTATTTTCATTTTCAAATTACGTCCATATTCGGCCATACGGTGAAAGCGTATGGCCGAATACGCTTTCGGCCTTTCGGCCAAACGTCGCTTTTTGGCCAAACGGCCAAAAACGACGTTCTTTTTAGAGGACAGGTTGTTGACCACTAAATACTACAGTCATTCCTTACCCATTCTCTTCTCGGCTGTTTTGACGGTGAAAGCTTGGAGCTTGATCGGAGCGGAGGCTCCCATAGGGCTCTGGACGGCTACATGTAGGGTATAAGCCGTGCCCGGGTCCAGGCCAGATGCCACGAACTGTGGCGTCGTGTTGGTCACCTTCGTCACTATGCGCAGGTCCTCAGAGTTCCTCACCTGCGGTAGATAGGAGGCAAGGATACCCAGTTGATGCCACTATCCAAAGAATTCCATCTATGCCAAGGGGCATTTGTGCCCCCAAAACAGCAGAACATTTACCAATAGACAATACCAAGTAAGGATCCCTTGAGCTCTTGCGGGAGAAAGAGGTGCCAGAGACTCCTATGTGAAGCAGATAGCCCACTTACACCAGTGGCATCTTAACCCAGAAACACAAGATCTTTTTAACGGAAGAACCAGATGTTGGCAGCACGGAGATACTCACCTGTAGAAGGAAGAGACATCACAATGATGCTTGTATCTAGAAAAAAAACATTTCATAATCCTATACATTTACACAAGGCTCATTAACCCAGAAACAGAACACAGTCCTCACAAAATGAGCAAATGTGTCGTCGGCCAGCCCGGATAAAAAAAGAATCTCACACACACACACACACACACACACACACACACACACACACACACACACACACACACACACACGTACACACGTACACACGTACACACGTACACACGTACGTACACGTACACGTGCTATATAGCCTTCCCGGTTTGGTGCCTTCTATTCACACACACACACACACACACACACACACACACACGTACACACGTACACACGTACACACATACGTACACGTACACGTGCTATATAGCCTTCCCGGTTTGGTGCCTTCTATTCACACACACACACACACACACACACACACACACACACACACACACACACACACACACACACACACACACACACACACGTAACAAAGACGAAGAGGACCTACGGAGAAAGGTAGGCGCTGGACGCAGTGAAACCCACCTCCATGCTGAAGCTGCGGGGAAGAACAGTGGGGACGCCCTTGCATGACACGAACACAGAGTGCGTCGTCTGGTTCCGGATAACGCAGCCTTCCAGCAGGTCCGGTGGTTCTGCGGATCACATGAAGAACGTGAGACAACGGATGACTGTAATCCCTAGATAACACTAGCCAACGGATGACTGTAATCCCTAGATAACACTAGCCAACGGATGACTGTAATCCCTAGATAACACTAGCCAACGGATGACTGTAATCCCTAGACAACACTAGCCAACGGATGACTGTAATCCCTAGATAACACCAGCCAACGGATGACTGTAATCCCTAAATAACACTACCTAACGGATGACTGTAATCCGTAGATAACACTAGCCGTAACACGTCACCAGCATTGGTTCAGGGAAGGCAAGTTGTGTCTCATAGGTTTAATACAATTCTATGGCCAAACAACAATCATTAAGGAAGAAAAAGAAGGATGGGTAGACTGCATTTTCTTGGACTGTCAGAAAACTTTTGACACAGTACCCCAGAAGAGACTGTTGAATAAGTTGGAGAAACAAGCTGAAGTAAGTGGTAGGTGCTCCAATGGATAAGGGAGTACCTAAACAAAAGGAAATAAGTTTAACCCCTCACAGTAACTCTCTAAGACTGCCGTGATATCACAAGCGGAGTCCCATAGGGTTCTGTACTTGGACCTATCTTGTTTCTGATATACGTGAATGATCTTCCAGAAGATATAGACTCATTCCTCAATGTTTTCTGATGATGCTAAAATTATGAGAAGGATTAAGACGGAGGAGGACAACAAGAGGTTACAGAATGATCTGGACAGACTGAAGGAATGGTCCAACAAATGGCTATTAGAGTTTAACTCGATCAAATGCAAAGTGATGAAGACAGGCGTAGGGAGCAGGAGGCCAAACACAAGGTACCAGCTAGGGGAGCCGGTCGGCCGAGCGGACAGCACGCTGGACTTGTGATCCTGTGGTCCCGGGTTCGATCCCGGGCGCCGGCGAGAAACAATGGCCAGAGTTTCTTTCACCCTATGCCCCTGTTACCTAGCAGTAAAATAGGTACCTGGGTGTTAGTCAGTTGTCACGGGATGCTTCCTGGGGGTGGAGGCCTGGTCGAGGACCGGGCCGCGGGGACACTAAAGCCCCGAAATCATCTCAAGATAACCTCAAGATAGGAGAGAAAATCCTTCAAGAGTCAGGACCAGAGAAAGATCTGGGGGTTGATATCACACCTGACCAACAGAACTTAAACACCTAAACCTAACCTAACCTAACCTAACCAATTCATAAATATGCACAATATGCTCATATATAATAATATTAATTTATATTTAAGAAAACTTCTATTTGGAATGAACGGCATGTTAAAATTGATGAATGCGTCTTTGGGGTAGACAGCTGGATGGAATGGACTTGGCCTGAGGACGGGTTGCCAAATGCTCCATCCACAAACTACAAACACAAATAATCGCCAACAGAACCTAAACACCTAAGTATGCCTTCCCATGCATAAAATTTTAATACATAATAATATTAACTTTACATGAAAGAAAACCAATTTTGAATTCACAGTATGTTAAAATCGATGAATGAGTCTGGGGGCAGCCGGTTTAACAAACCAGGGGCCAGATTCACGAAAGCACTTACGCAAGCACTTACGAACGTGTACATCTTTCCTCAATCTTTGACCGCTTTGGTTACATTTATTAAACAGTTTACAAGCATGAAAACTTGCCATTCAACTGTTGTTATTGTTATAAACAGCCTCCTGGTGCTTCGGAGCTCATTAACTGTTTAATAATTGTAAACAAAGCCGCCAAAGATTGAGAAAAGATTTACAGGTTCGTAAGTGCTTTCGTGAATCTGGCCCCAGGGCTGAGGAAGGGTTGCTGGATTAACAAGCATTTGACCCTTGTTGAACAGGACGTGGTGATTAACGAGACACGGGGAGGGAGGGAGTTTTCAGGGGAAAGCGCCAAGCCATTACGACTATATAGCACTGGGAAGGAGTCAGGATAAGGATTTGGGGATGGGACGCGGAAAGGAAGGAACGGTGCCCAACCACTTGGACGGTCGGGAATTGAACACCGACCTGCATGAAGCGAGATCGTCGTTCTACCGTCCAGCCCAAGTAATTGAGTTAACGAGACACGGGAAAGCAACTACCACTCACTAGCCGCCGTAACATTGATGACACAGGGTAAGTGCTGGGTTCCAATGCTGTTTGTGGCAGCGCAGAGAAGCAGCCCGTAGTCCCCCGGGGAGGCTGGAGTATAGGGCAGGACACTGGTGGTTCCCCACGAGGCCGCCCGACCTTCCCCAAGCTCCAGCAGCGAACCCGACGAGTTGAACCTCCAGGTGAAAGTGACGTTGTCCGGTACGGCGTCCACCCGACAAGTTATGTTGGCCGTGTCGTGATGGGCGACCTGGTACTCCAGCTGCTGCCCCGGCGAGCAGGCTGGCGTGTCTGAGGGTGTGGCGAGCACTTGTAGTATAACCCCCGCTAGCTTAATACAATGTAATGCGTGATGCAGACGCATTACTGTAATATATATTGTAATTTATGGCACATTACTGCGCTGCAGTCATGTGTATTCCGGCACCCACCCGCCAAACACACACCGAAACTACGACGTTGGTACAACGTTCGAACAAGTTTTAACACCTCCTAATCAGTTATAACAACCAATATAGCACGTTGTAACAACGTTCTAATACGTCATAAACACGTTAAGCCAAGCTGTAACAACTTTATTACAAGTTATAACCAGCGGAAAACAGGAACAGTTTCGGTTTGTTTTTCCATGTCACAAACCTCTTCAACCTATATATTCTCAGAAATGTTGAGATTTGTCATTTAAACTTACGGTATGATGATTATCTAACTTACACCGACATTAAACTCTTTCGTTAACGTGGATATCCTCATTAGAATTATTGTTTTCGAAAATAATAATTTGTATTTGCCCTTAGATAATTATTAGAAGAAAGCGATTTGCCAGCTAGGCTATCTGACACGGGAGAGGGATATTAGGACATGATAGCAGCTGAGACCTTAGGACAGGATAGCAGCTGGGATATAAGGAAGAAGGAAGGAACGGTTCCCAAGTCCTTGGACCATTGGGGGATCGAACACCGACCTGCATATGAAAAAGCCGTCGCTGAACCGACCAATCCAAGTGATTGGACAGTACTGACTCTTAAAAGCGAAAAAAGTGATATAAATACAGCTTTAAGTAGAAGTCACTTGTATATCATCTTTTCTTCTTTCATATTTTTGTACTTTATGCATGTGTTATTTTGTCGCGACGATTAATTCCAATCATTGCGCGATTACTTTGCCAACCTATGATTTGGCAAAGGGAGGGAGGGAGGGAGAGAGAGAAAGAGGGAGAGGTTACCTTGAGATTACCTTGAGGTGCTTCCGGGGCTTAGTGTCCCCGCGGCCCGGTCGTTGACCAGGCCTCCTGGTTGATCAGGTATTGAAATATGGCAGCCTCGATCCGTAGAGTTCTGTAGCGGCTTCGACCTGTCCTCTCATATGAGAGGACCCGTTCTCGCAAATTCGTAAAGTCAATATTGACTTATTAACTACGTGCATAGGTGACATACTAAACATAATAGATACCCTTAAAAAGATTCATAGAAAACACCGACCTTACCTAACCTTGTTAGTATCTTAAGATAAGCATCTTATTGCTTCGTAATTACAATTATTACTTAACCTATACCTATTATAGGTTAGGTAATAATTGTAATTACGATGCAATAAGATGCTTATCTTAAGATACTAACAAGGTTAGGTAAGGTCGGTGTTTTCTATGAATCTTTTTAAGGGTATCTATTATGTTAAGTATGTCACCTATGCACATATTTAATAAGTCAATATTGACTTATTAAATTTGCGAGAACGGGTTGTATGAGGTTATCTTGAGATGATTTCGGGGCTTTAGTGTCCCCGCGGCCCGGTCCTCGACCAGGCCTCCACCCCCAGGAAGCATCCCTTGACAGCTGACTAACACCCAGGTACCTATTTTACTGCTAGGTAACAGGGGCATAGGGTGAAAGAAACTCTGCCCATTGTTTCTCGCCGGCGCCTGGGATCGAACCCAGGACCACAGGATCACAAGTCCAGCGTGCTGTCCGCTCGGCCGACCGGCTCCCTGACCAGCCTATGTTCATCCTGTACCCCATACCATTCCCTCTGCTCATTGGGTGAGGCTAACCCCAAGCAGAGGGAGGAGTGGGGGGATGGGGGATAGAGACTCGGGGTAACCCTATAGCCTCTACCTACACGAGGCAATGTCTGTCTATCCATGGTTGAAGGTCAGATGCTTGGTGCTAGCCACACCCAAATTTTCAGGGTGAATAGGCTGATGTACGGAACGGAAATAGGTTGGTCGGCGTCGGTCCTATATGGTCAGACAGAGGCCCGGGGGAGGGGGGGGATAGTTAGTTCCTACCCACGTAATCGGTGAAACGCAGCTGACTGGATCTCTAGTGTTCTTAAATAACAAACGATGAACTGGAATTCAATATTAAATTTTCTGAGAGAGAGATATGGAGAGGAGACGAGTGAATAGAGGAAATGAATGGGGGAGGGGGGCAAGGTGATTATAGATTATAGATTATATATATATATATATATATATATATATATATATATATATATATATATATATATATATATATATATATATATATATATATATATATATATATATATATATATATATATATATATATATATATATATGTCGTACCTAATAGCCAGAACGCACTTCTCAGCCTACTATTCAAGGCCCGATTTGCCTAATAAGCCAAGTTTTCATGAATTAATGTTTTTTCGTCTACCTAACCTACCTAACCTAACCTAACCTAGCTTTTTTTGGCTACCTAACCTAACCTTACCTATAAATATAGGTTAGGTTAGGTTAGGTAGGGTTGGTTAAGTTCGGTCATATATCTACGTTAATGTTAACTCCAATAAAAAAAAATTGACCTCATACATAATGAAATGGGTAGCTATATCATTTCATAAGAAAAAAATTAGAGAAAATATATTAATTTAGGAAAACTTGGCTTATTAGGCAAATCGGGCCTTGCATAGTAGGCCGAGAAGTGCGTTCTGGCTACTAGGTACGACATATATATATATATATATATATATATATATATATATATATATATATATATATAATCTTGTACCTAGTAGCCAGAACGTCGTACGCGGCCTGCTATGCAAGGCCCGATTTCCCTAATAAGCCAAGTTTTCCTGAATCAATATATTTTCTCTAATTTTTTTCTTATGAAATGATAAAGCTACCCATTTCATAATGTATGAGGTCAATTTTTTTTTATTGGAGTTAAAATTAACGTAGATATATGACCGAACCTAACCAACCCTACCTAACCTAACCTATCTTTATAGGTTAGGTAGCCGAAAAAGTTAGGTTAGATTAGGTTAGGTAGGTTAGGTAGTCGAAAAGCCATTAATTCATGAAAACGTGGCTTATTAGGCAAATCGGGCCTTTCATAGTAGGCCGAGAAGTGCGTTCTGGCTTCTAGGTACGACATATATATATATAATATCTATAATATCTATAAAATATATATATATATATTATAGATAGATAGATATAGATATTACGTGTATAGATATATATATAAAATATATGCATGTTGTTATTTAAACGTATAAAAAATGAATATACGAGTTTCACTAGTCGTTAGTTCGGGGCGCTAATCACCAGACGGCGCAGGACAGAGGCAGTAGCATTTTTGTGTAGTCCGGGGCAGTTGGCTGTCCCTGTTACCTGTCATCTGGTCAGTGTTGCCCTGGCTTGTGTAGGAGGTGGATGTGTGGTGGGGGTGCGTGTGTACTCCGTGGTCACACTGCTCGGCTCCTCTACACTAATTTCTTTATCACGGAAATGGAATTCGGCTCAGCCTGGAGAGCTCTCTGGATGTGTTTAGTGTACTGTGGAAGACTTTGATGAATGTGGGTTACGTTGGTGTAAAGAAAGACTGTGGTTAATGTTCATCGAGTTTGAATAAATCAAGACTTACCTTGAGGTTACCTTGAGGTGCTTCCGGGGCTTAGCATCCCCGCGGCCCGATCGTCGACCAGGCACTTTGGTCAATATGCGTCATGTTTGAATAAAGACTTTGATCAGTGTGGCTCACGTTTGAATAAAGAAAGACTTGGAACAATGTGCTTCGTGTTTGAATAAAGACTTTGGTCAATGTGCTTCAAGTTTAAATAAAGACTGTACAATGTGCTTCAAGTTTAAATAAAGAAAGACTGTACAATGTGCTTCAAGTTTAAATAAAGACTGTACAATGTGCTTCAAGTTTGAATAGAGAAAGACTTTGGACAATGTGCGTCAAGTTTGAATAAATAAAAACTTTGGACTGTGCGTCAAGTTTGAATAAATAAAGACTTTGGCCTGTGCGTCAAGTTTGAATAAATAAAGACTTTGGATTGTGCGTCAAGTTTGAGTAAATAAAGACTTTGGATTGTGCGTCAAGATTGAATAAATAAAGACTTTGGCCTGTGCGTCAAGTTTGAATAAATAAAGACTTTGGATTGTGCGTCAAGATTGAATAAATTAAGACTTTGGACAATGTGCGTCAAGTTTGAATAAATTAAGACTTTGGACAATGTGCGTCAAGTTTGAATAAATAAAAACTTTGGCCTGTGCGTCAAGTTTGAATAAATAAAAACTTTGGCCTGTGCGTCAAGTTTGAATAAATAAAGACTTTGGATTGTGCGTCAAGATTGAATAAATTAAGACTTTGGACAATGTGCGTCAAGTTTGAATAAATAAAAACTTTGGCCTGTGCGTCAAGTTTGAATAAATAAAAACTTTGGCCTGTGCGTCAAGTTTGAATAAATAAAGACTTTGGATTGTGCGTCAAGATTGAATAAATTAAGACTTTGGAAAATGTGCGTCAAGTTTGAATAAATTAAGACTTTGGACAATGTGCGTCAAGTTTGAATAAATAAAAACTTTGGCCTGTGCGTCAAGTTTGAATAAATTAAGACTTTGGATTGTGCGTCAAGATTGAATAAATTAAGACTTTGGACAATGTGCGTCAAGTTTGAATAAATTAAGACTTTGGACATGTGCGTCAAGTTTGAATAAATAAAAACTTTGGACTGTGCGTCAAGTTTTAATAAATAAAGACTTTGAACAATGTGCTTCATGGTCGCATTGAGGAACTGCTCGGTATCCAGCTGTTGAAGAGCGGGCGTCTGGTGACCAAACTCGTGTCACTTTTTTGTAGTTTCTAAGAAGATTACGACAAGACCGTTCTCCTTGCCTCATGGGAGGGGACAGGCGGACCTTTGCCACGTAAGTACAATGTTGAATTCTGTTTTAGCATGTGATGCGCCGTTAAAAATGGATAACAAGGTAATCGGTAGTGTCATGGCGCAGTTTGGTACAGTGGGGTGATATTCGG